AAAATGTTCTACATTCTACCTTGGTGAGTAGCGTCTGGGGTCTTAAAAGCCTGTGAGCAGCCATCTAAGATACTCCACTGGTCTTACCCCTTCGGGAGCAAGGGAGAATGAAGAAAACAAGATACAAGGGAAGGATTAGTCCAAAGGACTAATAGACCACAACTACCATGGCCTCCACCAGACTGAGTCCAGTACAACTAGGTGGTGCCCGGCTACCACCACTGATTGCTCTGACAGGGATCACAACAGAGGGTCCCATACTGAGCTGGAGAAAAATGTAGAACAAAATTCTAATTCACAAAAAAAGACCAGATTTACTGGCCTGACAGAGACTGGAGAAACCCTGAGAGTATGGCACCCAAACACCCTTTTAGCTCAGTAATGAAGTCGCTCCCGAGGTTCACCCTACAGCCAAAGATTAGATAGCCCCATAAAACAAAACGAGACTAATGGGGCACAGCAGCCCAGGGACAAGGACTAGAAGCCAGGAGGGGACAGGAAAGCTGGTAATAGGGAACCCAAGGTCAAGAACGGAGAGTGTTGACATGTCATGAGGTTGTTAACCATTGTCATTTATGACAATATGTGTACTAACTGTTTAATGAGAAACTACTTATTCTGTAAACCTTCATCTAAAGTACAATAAAAAAAAATTTTATTTAAAAAAAAATTGTGTTCTTTCCTCTGGTTTTCAAACTTAGCTGTGTTTGAGAATCATCCCAAGTAGTTTATTAAAAAATACAGATGCTTATTTCACTGATAATCTGTAAATCTTGAGGAGAATCCCAGGTATGTTTAAAAAGTGCCAGGAGTGATTTTTATGGTTAGTTAGAATAAGACTCGACACTAGCACTTCTCAGACTTCACGGTACATATAAATCACCTGAGCATCTTGTTGAAATGCAAATCCTGGTTCATTAGGTCCAGGGCAGGGCGTGAGATTTTGCATTTTAATGAATACTCATGTGACATAATGTAGGTCTCCTGAATCCACACTGTGAATAGCAAGGACCACACCACCTGAGAAGTCCCTGGGTGGTGCAAAAGGTTAACGATTACTCTGCTGCTAACTGAAAGTTTGGAGGTTTGAGCCCACCCGGAGACACCTCAGAAGAAAGGCCTGGTGGTCTACTTCTGAAAAATTAGTCATTGAAAACCCTATGAGCACAGTTCTACTCTGACACAGATCGGTCTCCATGAATCAGAGTTGATTTGATGGCAACTAGTTTATGTAACATTTAATTTGTGATTTTAATTTTTTGACTACAATTCCTGTGAAGGCTATGATTCACATTTCTGTAAGGGATATTAAAGCATGCTGCTTAGCCTTTGAATTTTTACTTAAGTGCTTTTCCTTCGTATGTAAGAGTAGCAAGTTATGAAATTACTTAATCATATTTTGTTAATTGACTTCAGAAACAGGAGAGTCTAGGTGAAGTCCTATTTAAACATAATCTTGCCAGGTTTCTTCAGATAGTTATGTTTGTTTTGGTTTTGATAGTTTGATGAAAAGTTTATAAAAGAACTCAGCCTGGGAGCATCCATTTACTGTTAGTCCTTTCCTGCAAGAGAGCAAATATATTCATTCCATTTTTTAATTGTAGTGTTTGAATATCTTAAAGGAAATGTCAGTAAACCAACCTTCAAAACGTACAGTGTGTGGAGAAGGAAAAAGATTTTCACAGTTAAATGTCTACCCTTTTCAGGTTCCCCAACACCACCATTGCCATCTGTTATGTCTCCTAGCAGGGTTGCAGCTAGTCGACTGGCTCAACAAGGAAGTGATTTAATTGTTCCTGCAGGTATTCACTGCACTGATTGAATAAAGCCCTTCTTGCTACTGCTGAAGCTAAACTAATACACTCAGTTTCATAGTCACTTGCTTTATATTCTTAGGTGTATGTTATTCTGACTTTTTTGGTGGCTGCTACTTTTTTTTTAAACAATTATGAAAACAGTCTTTCTCACTATAGTCTGTCTTTCTGTCTTTTCGGAGTCATTAGGCTTTATCTCAAACCTGATATTTAATTCATTTTAAGGTTTAAAAAAAATTGTAAAATATGTACTCATTTTAAAGCATTCTTTCTTTGCTCTGGAAAATGTCGGTTCGTTTTATTTGATTCTAAATTCCCAGCTTTGCAGCTCTGCCCTCTGTTTGCAGTTTAACAGAAAAATTCGGGGTGGAGGCGGGGGGGAGGCTCCAACAGTTGGGCTGTTTATACTGGCAATGGGTCAAGTGGAAAGGTTTGTGTCTTCCTATTTTCAGCCTGAGTTTATAAATTTACAGATTGCAACAAAATACTATGTAATTACCAGTTGTATCCGATGAAAAATACTTGGAAATTATCAACTTTTTGACATTGAATTTGATCTACACTTTTATATGGCTAGACTATAAAAAACGGAAAAAAATAGAACTCCACATTTCTTTTTATATGACGTGTTAACATTTTATATTTTGTTTTTATGAGAATTTTGTAAATTCTTAAATGGGTTTGATTTTATGCACTGTTCTTGATCTTAGACTGCAATAAAGCTATGTAAAGGCTGGTCTGACTATAAGAAAGAGTGAAAAGAAATTTTTGCTGAACCTATTTTTTTTAAACCATTTCTCTTCTTATTTCTCTTGTTTCGTTGTTGTTAAATCAGAAAGTTTCCATCCCAAATCACTAGTGTCATAAACATTTAAACACTGTTCTGCTATGAAAAATATTTTACTGCTAAAAGCTATATAGTTGCTCTCATGTCATAATTTCTGAATTGTTGGAACAATATGTTGTCAAGGCTGTAGCACTGCCTTTATTAATTATGGAAGTTTTTTTTTTTGTCTCTTGAGAAAAGGAGGTAGAATGTAGATCTTGTTTCAACCCCGCATTTTATACTGGTGGTAAGATATTTTTAATGACTGTTTAAAATATGAATTATGTTTTCAAATCCTCCAAAATTATAGCAATGTTCTATTTTTGCTCTGGTCTACATAGTACAGTGAAAGGAGGTCACTGTGGGGGAATTCGTAGCTTTTCAGACTCTTATTGGTAATGACTGTTCTTTAGGGTCATTAAGTTATAAGATTAGTTGTGGAAATTTCATTTTTCTTGAAGTTGAACAGCAGCTTACACGAAAAAGAAGACTGATTGCAGCAGAATTTTATTTTTTACTAGAAGATAGCCAAACCACATGGCATTTGTTTTTAATGAACAGAAATATTTTCTAAGTGATTAGGAAATTATCCTCAAGGATTCCAGGAAGTTCTAGTCCTTCACTTTGTGAGAACCTTTTTATTGTTTAAATGCATAAATAGTTTAATTTGAACAACATCAGTGTTTTGCCTTCTTTCCCCACTTGTCTTTATCTGGTTTGTGTTTTGCTGTAATCATACAGGTGACCAGAGAACACAGACAAAAAGTGGACCGGTTATTCTAGCTGATGAAATTAAAAATCCTGCAATGGAAAAATTAGAACTTGTTAGAAAATGGAGTCTAAACACCTACAAGGTTTGTAATTTTTTAATATTTCTACCCTAAATGGCTCTAGGAATTTTCATTTGTATGTTATCCAAATTTTTATACTACAATTATATGAACATTAAGAGGAGACTAATGTCATATTGGAGCCCCAGTGGCACAGTGGTTACACTCTTGGCTGCTAACCGGAAGTTGGCAGTTTGAACTTACAAGCCACTCCAAGGGAGAAAGATCTAACAGTCTGTTTCCAAAGAGATTTACAGCCTTGGAAACCCTATGGGGCAGTTGTACTCTGTCCTGTAGGGACGCTATGAGTTGAAATCGACTCAACTGCAATGGGTTTGGTTTTTAATGCCGTTTAAACATGGAAATTCAATTAGAGAACAAAGTGCTTTGTTTTATGATTTTAGTAGCTTGTAAAATTTGAAATTTACTCTTTTGCTACTGACTTTTTCCACTACATTTTCAGATTTTATGAGCTACTAAAATGGTTATTAACTGATAGATGATACATAAAAATGAAGAAATATATTGCTTTGGAATATATTTAGATGTAAAGCTGCTATAGATACCTTTATCTCTTAGACTCCATTTTCTACTCTGCCTAATGTAATTCACTCCAGTTTAGAATCCTTCCATGAATCCGTATTGTATTTACAGTTGCTTGAATCTGACCCTTATCTGCCTTTTCAACCTCATCTCCTACTGCCCCTCTTTTTAATCTGTGAATCCAGTGATCCATAGCAGTTATCAGAGATTTCCTAAACAAGCTATCTTTTCTCACGCCTCTATGGCTTTGTTCATGAGGCTGCCTTTGCCTCCTGCGTGGAATTCCCCTTCGTGCCCCCTTTTTATTTTACTTGCTTATCTTCCATGTCGGACTCATCTTCATTCATTTGTTTTTTCAGCCAATCCTTTGTTCATTTATTCATGAAATTTGCCTCTAATTATTAACATTCTATGTCCATACATTTTGAACCTAAAGAACACAGGTCTTCTTTCTGAACCAGATCCTACTAATTGAAAATTGCATATTTTTTAAAGTTTAAGCTTTTGTTTATTTGAGCCTTTGTCTTTTGTGTTGGTTAGTTGGTGTCTTCCTTGTTCTTTATCTACCTTTTCTTATATACATATGCTATTATCTATCTCCCCCATGCGTCTGTGAGTTTGTTGTACTGTGGGGGCTTGTGTGTTGCTGTGATGCTGGAAGCTATGCCACTGGTATTCAAACATCAGCAGGGTCACCCATGGCGGACAGGTTTCATCTGAGCTTCTAGACTCAGATAGACTAGGAAGAAGGACCCAGCGGTCTGCTTCTGAAAAGAATTAGCCAGTGAAAACCTTATGAATAGTGGTGGAACATTATCTGATATACTGCTGGAAGATAAGCCCCTCTGGTTGGAAGGCCCTCAAAATACAACTAGAAAAGAGCTGCCTCCTCAAAGTAGAGTCAACCTTAATGACATGGATGGAGTCAAGCTTTCGAGACCTTCATTTGCTGTTGTGGCATGACTCAAAATGAGAAGAAACAGCTGCAAACATCCATTAATAATCAGAACCTGGAATTTATGAAGTATGAATCTAGGAAAATTGGAAATCATCAAAAAATGAGATGGAATGCATGAAGATTGATATCCTAGGCATTAGTGAGCTGAAATGGACTGGCATTGGTCATTTTGAATCAGACAATCATATACTCTGCTCTGCCAGCTTGAATGACAACTTGAAGAGGAATGGGGTTGCGTTCATTGTCAAAAAGAACATTTCAAGATCTAGCCTGAAGTACAACACTATCAGTGATAGGATAATATCCATACACCTATAAGGAAAACCAGTTAATAAGACTGTTATTCAAATTCACGCACCAACCACCAAGGCCAAAGGTGAAGAAATTGAAGATTTTTACAACTTCTGCAGTCTGAAATTGATCAAACATGCAATCAGGCTGCACTGATAATCACTGGTGATTGGAATGCGAAAGTTGGAGACAAAGAAGGATCTGTAGTTGGAAAATATGGCCTTGGTGATAGAAATGATGCCAGAGATGGCATGATTGAATTTTGCAAGACTGACGACTTCTTCATTGCGAATACCTTTTTTTCACCAACATAAACGGCAACTGCACACATGGACCTCAGCAGATGGAATACAGAAGAATTAAACATCTGTGAATTAAATCGACTACATCTGTGGAAAGAGATGATGGAAAAGCTCAATATCATCAGTCAGAACAAGGCCTACTGTGGATCAGACCATCAGTTACTCATATGCAAGTTCAAGTTGAAACTGAAGAAAATTAGAACAAGTCCATGAGAGCCAAAGTATGACCTTGAATATATCCCACCTGAATTGAGAGGCCATCTCAAGAATAGATTTGAGACGTGGAACACTAATGACCAAAGACCAGATGAGTTGTGGAATGACATCAAGGACATCATACATGAAGAAAGCAAGAGGTCCTTAAAAAGACAGGAGAGAAAGAAAAGACCTAAGTGGATGTCAGAAGAGACTCTGAAACTTGCTCTTGAATGTCAAGTAGCTAAAGCGAAAGGAAAAAATGATGAAGTAAAAGAGCTGAAGATTTTAAAGGGCAGCCTGAGAAGACGAAGTAAAGTATTATGATGACATATGCAAAGACCTGGAGATAGAAAACTAAAACGGAAAATCACGCTCAGCATTTCTCAAGCTGAAAGAACTGAAAAAAAAAATTCAAGGGTCGAGTTGCAATACTGAAGGATTCCATGGGGAAAATATTAAAACGACACAGGAAGCATCAAAAGAAGATGGAAGGATACACAAAGTCACTATATCAAAAAGAATTGGTCGACGTTCAACCATTTCAGGAGGTAACATATGATCAGGAACCGATGGTACTGAAGGAAGAACTCTAAGCTGCACTGAAGGCATTGATGAAAATCAAGTCTCCGGGAGTTGTCGGAAGACCAATTGAGACGTTTCAGTAAACGGATACAGCCCTGGTAATGCTCACTGGTCTATGCCAAGAAATTTGGAAGACAGTTACCTTTCCAACTGACTGGAAGAGATCCATATTTATGCCTATTCCCAAGAAAGGTGATCCAATAGAATGCAGAAATTATCGAACAGTATCATTAATATTATATGCAAGCAAAATTTTGCTGAAAATCATTCAAAAGCAGCTGCAGCAGTATATTGACAGGGAACTACCAGAAATTCAAGCTGGATTTAGAAGAGAACACGGAACCAGGGATATCATTGTTGATATCAGATGGACCCTAGCTGACAGCAGAGAATACCAGAAAGATGTTTACCTGTGTTTTACTGACTATGCAAAAGCATTCAGCTGTGTGGATCATAACAAATTATGGATAACACTGAGGAGAATGGGAATTCCAGAACACTTAATTGTGCTTATGAGGAATCTGTACATGGATCAAGAGGCGATCGTATGAACAGAACGGGGGGATATACTGCATGGTTTAAAGTCAGGAAGGGTGTGCATCAGGGTTGTATCCTTTCAGCATACCGTTCAATCTGTATGTTGAGCAAATAATCTGAGAAGCTAGACTGTATGAAGAAGAATGGGGCATCAGGATTGGAGGAAGACTCATTAACAACCTGTGTTATGCAGATGACACAACCTTGCTTGCTGACAGTAAAGAGGACTTGAAACACTTACTGATGGAGATCAAAGACCACAGCCTTCAGTATGGGTTACACCTCAACATAAAACAAAACTCCTCACAACTGGACCAATAAGCAACATCATGATCAACGGAGAAAAGACTGAGGTTATCATTTTGCTTGGATCCACAATCAACACCCATGGAAACAGTCAAGAAATCAAAAGACACATTGCATAGGGCAAATATGCTGCAAAAGATCTCTTTAAAGTGTTGAAAAGCGAAGATGTCACCTTGAAGACTAAGGTGTGCCTGACCCAAGCCATGGTGTTTTCAATAGCCTTATATGCATGTGAAAGCTGGACAATGAATAAGGAAGACCAAAGAAGAATTGACGCCTTTGAATTGTGGTGTTGGAGAAGAATATTGAATATACCATGGACTGCCAAAAGAATGAACAAATCTGTCTCCGAAGAAGGACATCCAGAATGCTCAGTAGAAGCAAGAATGGTGAGACTACATCTCACATACTTTAGATATGTATCAGTCCCTGGAAAAGGACATCATGCTTGGTAAAATAGAGGGTCATTGAAAAAGAGGAAGACCCTCAGCTAGACGGATTGACACAGTGGCTGCAACAATGGGCTCAAGCATAGCAACAAGTGTGAGGACGGCACAGGACCAGGCAGTGTTTCGTTCTGTTCTGCATGGAGTCGGTATGAGTCAGAACCAACTCAACGGCACCTAACAACTAACAACGTTAACTATCTATTCCTTGCTCTTGTGTCTTTTACATCTGTAGTAATTTGAGTCAAATCACTATTAGGACCCAAAATTTATCTGTTGTGTGTTAACGTACCACATTCAGTCTTTCCAGAAGTTAGTGTTAATAAAAATGACCAGTCTTTAAAACGTTCTACCATGGTATAAATTAGTGTGAAAGAAGCATCATTTTTTCAAAGTGATCACTTTATTTTTATGTGAAATTTTTTCATCAGAGTTTAATTTGGGTGTTTCACCTAGGTCGAAAGAGGAAAAGAAAGTTCTGACTTACATGATTTTATGGAGCTGATAGCTGAATGAGGTGGCTGGGTGGTGCAAACGGTTAAGTACTCAACTGCTAGGCAGAAGGTTGGGGTTTGAACCCATCCAGAGGTGCCTTGGAAGACAGGCGTGGCAATCTGATTCCAAATGGTCATAGCCTTGTATCATGGATTGAATTGTATCCCCCAAAAATACCTGTCAGCTTGGCTAGGTCATGATTCCCAGTACTGTATGGTTGTCTACCATTTTGTCATCTGATGTGATTTCCCTGTGTATTGCAAATCCTATCACTATGATGTAATAAGATGGATTAGCACCAGTTGTATTGATGAGATCTACAGGATTAGATAGTGTCTTAAGCCAGTCTCTTTTGAGATATAAAAG